TTTCCATCATTAAATCGGCGAATTAAATTGTTAACAATTGATGATTTAATCGTTTTCTGATAACCTTTTATCACAATGGTTCGAGTAAATAACCAGCGGCTATTAATTAAATTCGAGTAGAAAAGTTTATAGACAATTTTTCGAGTTGAAATTTTCTTAAATTTCATTCTGGAAATTTAAAAATTTTAATCAACAAACATGATAAAGAATCAATGAGAAAACTGAACGATAAAGTTCATTGGAAGAATCAAAATGTTTATCGAGAACTTTTTGATTAATTTTCACAATCGATCGAAGATTATTTGTTTATTCTGATTTCGAAAGGAGAAAACAAAACAATAAATCTGATACGAACTTTTTTCTCCTCGAGTTCTAACCTTTCTAATATTATACGATATTCTTATCATTGCTTTTTTTTTATCTTACAGATTTAATCTTTTCCGTAGAAAACGTTACCATGGTTACCAGCATTTCATGAGTTGATTATGATAGTGAAAATCAATGAATCGTTTGATATTATTGTTATTATATTAATCAAATGATTCCTAATGATTATCAGTGAATCATTGTCGTGAATACATCAATTTGATGAAAATGTTGATTGTTTTTCTATGAGTGTCATTAATGGTGAATAAATTGTTTCTCATTTTGATCTGGATAAAGGAAAATAAAAGTTAATAACAATTTATTTGTCTATTTATATTAATGATAATCAAGATCATTGATACATAAATGAATTCTTGCCTTTTAATCAATGATTTAATCATTTGAATCTTGATCCAAGAAATGATAATCATGAGAAATCATTGATTGTTAATATAAAGATTTGCAACATTAATGATAATGATGATGATGATGATGATGATGATGATGATGATGATGATGCTCATTGATTACCAAGTATGAATCAAGAAATTGTAAGTTAATCAATTGAATGAAAGTGAAATTAATGATTGATCAACAATCAAGCTTCATAAGCTATTGATTTATTGGACTGTAATGTTGAAACATGAAAACTGCTAAACCTTTAATTTAATTGTTACAATCAAACGATTAATAAATAATTATCTTTAATATAATAACTGTTAATATCATAGTAATCATTATATTTGTTGATTGTTTCATTGTTAATGATCAGCAATTTGTCACAGAAAAATAAAAACAATCATTGCAAGAGGTTGAATCAAATGATTGTTTACCAAACCATAACAATCAGGCTAAATCATGAATAATATTATTTTCAACAATCAACTTAAATTATCATAAATAATAATAAATGATAATTTATTAATCTATAATAATGTAATCACAAGTTCATGAGGATTCAGAGGTTCTGTAACCTTGAACATATGATGATCTTTAATCATGAATTTTTACCTGTGGAGGTGAAGAGAGAGAGAGAGAGAGAGAGAAAGTTCTAGATTATAATGAAATTATCACTCACCAGAATCTTTATTAATCTGTTGAAATTTGTGATACTGGTGATGATATTCAGGGGATGGAAGTAAATAAATTCCAAGATATTAATAGTAACTCTGAAAACAATAACAAGATTTGATTATATATTCATTTCCAGGTTCACAATATTATTAATATGTTACCATGAACAAGAAGCAATGAAAAAAAATATAATAGTCTAACAAACGTTAATTTGATTGATGGAATCAGAGCTTTGAGTTTTTCTTTTGATAACAAAATTCTGGTTTTCATCCAGCTTCCTGAACAGGGAGGAACTGAACCTCTTCCCCACCCACTGAAAACACACCTTTGTGAAAACAATAGGCCCTTAAGTTCATTACTTTTCAGAATCTCAATTCTTGGTCAGAAGTTTTCAATAAACTAGGTTATGTTTCATCAACCGCCTACTTATCCCCCTGTTAATCTGAATTCTGGAAGAAAAAAAAGAAAGAAAGAGAGAGAAATCGATGAAAGAAGAATTTTTTTCTCTATTCATTCCTACGAATTAGATTCTGAATCAACATTTCCATGAATTCTGACGGATTTTGGTTAAAAGGTGGATGAGAAATTAATCTGTCAAAGTTTTGATTGATCATCATCCTAAGATGAATAAATAGTTATCTTTTTATATTCGTTTGGTTACTGGCTATTCAGAACTTTTTCTCTCTCATCATGAACTTTTCCTCGTTTCAATATTATCCTGAATTCACAGGAATTATTTCAGGTTCTGTAAATTGAGAATATTTCAAAATATGTGTAAAAAAATTATTCCAGATTGCAAATGTTTGGTATTCCAATTAACTGATTATCGTTGACATCTCACTGATTATCATCATCATCCTGGTGTCAGTTAGTGTAGATGTAAAAAGATCATCTCATCTGAATACCCTCATCATGGAGAATACATGTAGCATGATGTTCATACATCATTAAACACCCTGAGTATGAGTTAGAGTAACAAAAGAGACACTATTATTATTTAGGTTACCTTAAACTTCATGATATTAGAATTCATTTAGTGAGAAAAGAGCTGATAAACAACATATACATGGAAACAACTCTCAGAATTAGATTTATTTTTCACACTCTTATTATTTTATCAGTTACTGAATATTTCAAGTAACAATTTTCACCATCGAGTTGATGTTTCAATTGTTTATCTTAATTCATTCTCGTCATCGTTTTCAATTCAATTTATTTGGTTGTTTTATCATCAGAATTTAATCATCTTCTCAAATAAACTCTCGTTGTCTTAATCCAATACAAATGAAGACAAACCATCGTCATAATCATCATCTTCTTCTTCTATAAATAATAGAATTCAAATACACTCATAGATTCATCATTCACACCTCTGGATGCGATTCGATTTCAAGATTTTCAGAACTTTTTATTTGGCTCCCCAAGTTATCACATTATCTTCATATTTATGTAATATTATTGGAGACATTTTTCCTTCCATTACAAAGCCTTGAAGCGATAAGTTTACTCTTTATATTTATCACCATTATCATCCTTATCTTCATCTTTCATATCGTTTTAATGTTAACAATCAACGAATTGTGAGTTTCGAAATTTTCATCAATCTCTACCCCCATCTCTCTCTCTCTCTCTCTCACTCTTGCTTTCTTTCTTGTTTCCAACTCTATTGGAACTGTTACTTTATCATTCCCTGAGAATAAAAGATAAGGTGAAATCGTTCAATTCGAGATCATGATCTGAATTCGAAAAGTTCTAAATCAATACAATTTCGAGGCGAGTTGATAACAAAAGTTTTCTTTTCAAATCAAAATTCTTACAATCAGAACTTTTTTGTTCACCTTTCAGATTAACCTTTGATTTGATTGTTGAAACAAGAATCCAATTATCCCTTTGGGCTTAATATTAATTACGTTGATTAACCAATCAATAAACCCTCATATAATTAGATTGATTCAATTTGAATGTTAATCACCATAATTATCATGAAAACAATTCAAGTTCAAGTATTGATTAGATTTTTATAATTACCATTTAATTTGCTTCTTACAATTTAAATGAGTTACTTGTTTTAATGCTGGTTTAATTGTTTTCAGCTTAAATCACAGGTAATTAACTAGTTAAATATTCAAGATATCCAGTTACAGTTGATTTAATTAACGATCAACAATAAACAATTAACTATGTTTTTTTTTATTGAAGATCAATGAACTTCATTTCAAGTTAATTGTTAACCGTAAACAAATTAATTAGAACCGGACAGAAAATTAATTGCTAATTAAATCAATATACTTGATGATTTATGTAAAGCAATTAATTGTTACCTGATTAAATCTCGTAATCAAATTGATTTATACACAATAATAGATGGAAAAAAAATTAACAATTTAAATTGTTGATAAAACTTTTTGATTGAGTTATTATCATGATAATAAATTGATTTTCTTTGATCAATTAACATCTAATTTGATTTAAATAATTTGTTTCCTTTTCATGTTAATCACAATTATCATTTAAACAAATTAAAGTTCATTTCAAATCAAATAATCAAATTGTTAGGATCAAATTACTTTCCGATAATTTACCAAACTATTACAATTCAAATCAGATTTAAATGTTAATGGATAACAAACAATTAAGCTAATTGTTGAAACAACCAACAAATATTTGATTGATTTAACAATCAATTTTACACAAATGGACAATCATTTATTGATTATTGATTATTGATTTATCAATGATTTATTATATCATTGGACTTGGCGATTTCAACTATTCAAAGTTGATGATATAATTAAATTAACGTTTAAGATGATGTTGATTATATTTCACTGGTTAATATTGATAATCGTTGATGTTACAATCAAATTTGATTCCTGTTCCTCTTTAACAATTTACTATTAAATTATTATTCTGGACAGTATGTTACCTTATCAATTTGATGGTAAATCAATTAATTGATCAAAGTGATAGTTATAACCAATTTGATTTGATTTGATTTGATTTGATGACATTTTCTATCTTATAAATATAAATTTAAACTCTCATCAGAATACAGAGTGGATTGAAAATGATTCATTTACAATCCACTCTGTACATTGATCGTTAATGAATATTATGATTTCATGATGATTGTTGTGATTAGTTTTTCATAACTTCCCCATGTAATCAATGTAACAAATTGATTGTTGCTGTTTTCTTGAAGATGGTGATACTTTTTTTAATCATCAAAATGATTGTTGATTGATGAAGTTGTTTAATTTGACAGCCTCCAATTTATTGATATTTGATTCATTGTTTACATTTTTTTCATGAAAAATTTCACCCTGAACTCAGTTCAGATCTTCATCTCTCTTTGTTTAACTCATTCCACACACTATATATTGTGTATTTGATGCCTTTCATCAGAATCCATGGTCTCCCTGTATAACGATTACCCTGATCTTCGTTCTATTGTAACGGTGGAAGTTTTTTTTTCTATTCTCTAAACAATTAAAATTAATTTGATTCGTTGAATTGAACTTTTTTTGTACCTTTTTCCATATTGAACTTTGTGTTCTTCCTTGTTCATGAATATATTTTTAGATAATTTCAAGAGATCTCCAATTATCTCTTATCCATTGTTTGATTTTCTGAATCTTCAATTGATGGAGAAGAAAAAAAATTAATTTATTAAGGACTCTTGTCTCTCTCTCTCTCTCTCTTGATTGTTTTACCTCCTTCGGCTCAGTTTCCACCTCCATCCTTCCCACTTCTTCATCTATTTCCACTCCTCTTCATGTCTTCCTCTTGTCTCATTAACAAATCAAGTTAACTGAAGGGAGTATATTTCATTATCAGTCGACAACTGAATCAGAATAAAGTTTAATATTCCCGCTGGAAATACTAACTACTTGGAACAAAAATTAAGCCAATAAGTTTAATTGTCACAAAAGGATAGTTAATAAATTGTTAACGATAATAGTCCATGTACTAAGAGTAAACATAATCAAGAGTATAATCAGCAAACTAATCCAAAGATTGACCATTAAACAGTATATACAGAATGGTGATCATGTTGATTGGGAGAAAACGATAATTACAGATCAACATGATGATAATGGAAAACAAAATCTCATGACAATCTAAATAATCTCAGTCTGAATGTGTAATCAAGTTAATTTAGATTCATAAGATGGTCTCAGGTAAATGAGAGTAGCAAATTAAATGTTATCATACAAGAATTAATTGTCAAAACAATCACGATAATCACCAATTAACTAATCTACAATCAGTTGGAATGATTGGTCTCATTGGTGTTGAGATGATGTGTTAAAGATGATGAGGAAAACAATCAACGAGACAACAATAGATTAAATTAATACCATTGATGGAATGGGTGGGAGGTGAAGGTAAGGTGGGAGTGGGAATATAACTGTAAATATTGACAGAAACACAATCAATGGCGATTTCAAGATTAATCTCTGGGAAAAACATACATTCACCTTTCGAGACAATAATAATAATTGCATGGAAATAGATTCCACAATTATTATTAAATAATACACTTTAATCATCAGCACCATGATAATGTTAAATGTTGATGAAATTCAACTGATTATCATCCATTAAAATATTGTTATTGTTTCCATCTCTCTCTCTCTCTCTCTCTCTCTCTCTCTCTCTCTCTCTCTCTCTCACTCTTGTGGTATCATCTTCATCCCGAATACTGAGTAAACATCACTGATCATCATGAAGGTGAATCTTTTAGGAAGAAACGAGAAAAAAGTAAATTGTTACACCGAAAATGGTTCAGAATCTTTCTCGAAATTCATTATTCTATGTTTCCATAAGCTGTTTCCATTTTGGTCGATGAAACTTTTCTCGTTCTTTGTCCAGTTTTTTTTCGAGTAATTCCAAACTTTGATATACTATTGTCTTCACATAATTATCATCATCATCATCACCATGGTGAACATTTAGTTTCTCTTTCTTTTCTTTCATTGGATACACTTGTACTTTCATCTTCTCTTCAATGTTTCATCTTGTTTCTTTTCTCGCTCTCTCTCTCTTGATCCATCCGCTTGTTTCATCTTTCTATCTCCATCCTCATCATCTTTGGATCAATGATCAAATGTAAATAAATTTCGTCACATTTTTGTTTACTGTAAGTGTTGTGTGAATGTGTGAGTGTGTGTGTGTGTTTGTGAAGACTGATTGAAAGAAACCAAGCCAGGTAGAATGGATTAATTTTCCACTTGATCGGTCGATGGATCCAATGAATCAACAAAAAAAATCAACAAGGCATCCAAGTTGCTGGATTTCATTTGTCATCTTGTTTTCATCCTTCTTTCATCATCTTCCTCTTCACCCTGAGTGAAGTTTCAAATAATTTTTCCTTTGGTATCTTTGGTGTCTTGTTTATCCTCATCACTTTTCCCCAATACTTGAATTTACGCTTTACTCTTGGTCATTAAAGGAAAACTGCAGAGAAAAACAATACAATCATTGTCATCATGATATTCTCATCATCATCATGATTATGACATGATGTTTTTATCTCTATCATTCTTTGTGTATCTTCAAAAGGTATATTTCGAAAACATCATTACAACAAAAAAAAGAATAGAAATTTTTTTTTGTTACTTGGACATTTTCCTTCCTTTCGAGGATCAAAAACAAAATAGTTCTTGTCGTTGTAAAGTAATTTAACCAATCAATAAATATCCGTAGTCTGCGACATTTTGTCCATTACGATTAATAGAATACTAAATTAACTGTCAATTCTTGAACTTGTATATCCGCCATGCAAAGAGTTTGTTTGATGATGAAATTAAAGTTAACTAATTGAAGGTAGTGATGATGATGGTGATCAATATTATGGATATTGTAGGTGTTGATGATGATGATGATGATGTTCATAATCATCATCTTTTCACTTTCCATTACAAGAGTTTGCATGATAAACTCATCATTTAGAACTGACTAAAAAGGATAAGAGCGGAAAAGAGGGATAAGAGATCAGGCAATTGTCAAAGGAATTGAAACGAATGATTCATTAATTCATGGTCAGTCAACTAGCCAATAGGTAATTCAAGCATCATAATAATTTCCATGATGAAAACAACAAACTCATTAATTGATCACTTTCTCCCTTTTCTCTCTCCGTGGTGATATTTAACTTGAAACCAAAGGGAAATCATATCCTTGAACCATTTAACTTTTTCCTCAACCGGTAAAGTTTAATCATGTTCATCCAATGATTTTTCAGTCCATTTGAATTTAAAATGAGTCCAATTCAATCTTAATCCTTAATTTGATTTTATCCAATAACCATAATCATGAATCTGAAGAAAAATATAACGAGCGAGAGAGAGAGAGAGAGCAAAAAAAGAAATAGAAAACAATCATGAAAAACTCATTCCATATTCAATCATCACTTGTCAAGAGAGTGAAAAATTTTCTCAGTGAATTTTAAGTAACCACCTCAAATGGAAACTATCAATTGACAGAACCACGATGAATCCAACTCGTTGGAGGGAAAAATATAATTTCTCGTTTATATGCAAATATAACGGTTAACACACTCATCGTAATGTGCCTTATGAAATTTAACCTGTGGCCTTATATTGGTTAACCTTTCGGGAATTTGATGATTGATGTAGCAAGAATTTCAGATCAACTTTTACCATGTTTATCATTGATCCATATAATACTTTTTTTCATCTTCTCCTTCCTCTCTCTCTCTCTCTCTCTCTTCAAAGGGAGTTTCTTGTATATATGTATCACAGTTGAAAGGAATATCAGGCAATATTACACTTCGATGTAATAATATACTCGATAATGGTTTTTCCTTTGAGTTCCACATCCGTTAGGTTAGCAAATCATAAACTTCAAAAGGTTGACGTTGAAGATTCTCAGAAAATCAGATGATCTGCAAGAGAATAGAAAAAAAAATTGTATAATCGATTGAGATCTTTTCGAGCTTATTGTCAATTTTTTCTTCTTCCCTTGTAATATGTAAGATCAAAGAGGAAGATGAGAAAATTGAAGTTTTTTTTTCTTTACCTGATATTAAATGAGAGACACTTGAAGAGACAGTTTCATGGGATTGGGAAGAGAGAGAGAGAGAGAAAAAAAATTGAATGAGTTGGTGATGATCTTCTTGTTATAATAATAAGAAGATGGATAAAGTATTTCAAGTGATGAAGGTGAATTTCTTGGTGGTGGTGATGATCATGTTATTGAGGGATAAGAATGAGACACACCGAGAATATATGGAAAGAAGAGTTTTCATCATGTTTTCCATCAAATTCTGTCCCAGGAAATTTTCTTCCATTCTTCTCGTTGAATTACTAAAGCAACAACATGTCAATTCCAATCTTATATTATGTATTATCTTTTCCTTGATCCAGTATTTTCGTCACTTTTTAATAACCACCTTTCACCTTTTCATCTCTCAATCTTCCTGGTGTCCACTTTAGTCCAATGGTCATTTAGAAGAAGAGAAAAAGTTATATTCTTTTATTCCATTTCCTCTTCTCTCTCTCTCTCCTCAATCCATTCAGTGTTTCTCTGGTTTGATAATAACATTCACTTTGATTTTCTTTGACCAATGACCAGCAAAGTGATCTAATATATTGAGAGATGATGGACAAGTTAGAAAAGGAAATGGTCACTTCAATCATTTAGAAATATAGAGATGATAATGTTGATTGCAAATCAAGAGATTAAGATGAATCAAGAGAAAGGATTAAGGAGCAAATTAGCTTGATGACTTTGGCAGGTTAACAGGTGAGCTTGACACCGATTAATTGTAAATACCACCAATTGGAAACACTTGAGGTTAACTTAATTGTTGGTTAGTCAGGATTATTGGTAGTTAAACATGGGAATACTCAGGTTGTCTGTTAATAGCTGGTAATAATAATTACTAAATCACTGGATTAGATTAATACAAATAAAAAGGGATAACAAACATCAAGATTAATTTTGAGAAATGGCAAATGAATCAAATCATAAATGTAAGATGAAAATTATGTTGCAGTTAATTGTTTTGTTTGGCTTTTTTAATACACTTACCTGATTAAGTTACCGTTAATTACTCAGCTTTTCTTTAACAATAATACAACAAAGAATACACCTTGTTAATCTGGTTAAATTACCTTTAGAATAGGAAAGAAAATATTAATTCCAAAGGGAAAAATATATCACATGTTATCCTATGGAAAGAAAAACAAAACATAAAATGGAAACAAAGAGAAAATAAAATGTAAACATCATGAGATGAATCGAATTAAATTAACAGAAATTAGAGATTAATCAAAGATTTACTTACCTTTATAAGAAGCACTTTAACAAGAGGAACAATTAAAAGTAATCACAATTAAAGAAGAGAATAAGAGAGAAAGTGATTAACATGATTTAGTGGAGAAAATGAATTTTCAACTGATTTAAATGTTTACCTTTTCGATTGTTTGTCTTAAATCAATGGTCGAAATGTAGACAGAGAAAAAGACAGTGGAACGAAAAGTTGTTTTCAATTGTTAATCATACGAAAGATTTTTGATTGTTGATTGTTGATTGTTGATTGTTAAAGGTAAATTTGTTACAGTTAATCAATTGCTCTAAGGGTAAACGATGGTTACGCTCGTTTCCTATGGTTGATTAGTCTGATTGTTGTTTTCGCGTTTGTTGTTACAATCAAAAAGGGAATCAATCAAATTTGATTAACTTCAAGTTAACTAATAATAACTTTCAACAATTAACATTAACATCGCATTTTTATTGATTGTTATTCTAAACTGTGATATATTGTTGTAACTTTGCTCAGTAATCAACGAGGTTATCAAAAGTGTATTTATGTTACCAGTCCAATGGTTTGATGTTCAACAGACAATCACAATTTCACCCATGAGGATTCAGAGTTTTATTCAAGATCATCATGAACTTTCAATGTTAAATCATCCTCATCATCAACATCATCACAATAATCATCATTTATTACAATCCAATTCACCAACGAATCAACAACATATCAAGTCAAACAAAATCTAATTTCCGGCAAAATAATCAAATATCAATCAAATTCATTTCTCCAGGTTATTTAACAACAATAAGATAATTTAACATTTACAAACGTGATTAAAGTTAATCATTAAGGTGGAAAATTTTAAATCAGTATTATTATTACAATTGATTGAGTTTAATTTGATTCGGTTTGATATTGAACTAATAATGAAACGAAACGAAGGAAAAAAAATCAGTTAATTGAGCAATTAAGTTAATCTCAATGATCGAGAGCTTAATTGTTGTTACATTTTCATCACAATAGAAAGTTGTCCCTAATTGTTGACAATTAATACATTTGAAGATGAAAATTAATCTCCATTGATAATTTAGTTTGTCTATTTGTATCTGATTGAATTAAAGGTTAATCACTTTGTGTATGTGATTTTTGTGTAAATTGTTTCGTCAATTGTATCGAGTAACAATTAGATAAACAAATTAGCAATTGAATTAGTTCAAATTTCTTTCAATCAACTTTCATTTCTCTCATTGATTGTTACAATGAATCTAATTGTAATGATTAGAACCCTGTCAATTAGTGATTATTTCATCTTCTATTACATAATAATAACAATAAGTACAGTTATTGATTAACTAATGCCCATCATTTGTATAATCATGAGGGATTTAATTGCTTGGCAAGATGATATTTGATCATCAAAATAATCACCAAAACAACAATAACAATCAATTTAATACAACAATATATTAAATGTTTACGTTTTAGGACAAACATTGAATATTAATTGTTATTGATTGTTGACTGATTTGATTCGTTTCAATGTTGTTTAATCTTGCAAACTTTCAATGATCCATTTGATTGTTTCTTCCCATTGTGTATCCATTTGATTGTTGATTAATTGATTTTCTGTTTGTTTATTTTTCCTTTCAGGAAGAATATGGTTTCCCCAACCAATGCCATTCTAACGGGTTTGGCCGTTGCCGATATGCTCGTGATGCTTGACTATATGCCCTTCTCGATTCACACTTACATCCGACGGGATCAACCGACCACCGAATTGTATTCCTACCCATGGACAGTTTTTACACTTTTTCATGCTCATTTTTCCGTTGTATTTCATTCAATATCAACATGGTTAACTATTCTTCTTGCCATTTGGAGGCTTTTATCCGTAAGGTAAGTGTCCAGGATGTCACATAATCGTCATCCATTAAGATGAACCTTTTCCAATAGAAAGTCCATCAAACTTGATAATGGTAAACATTAGTAATTCGAGATCATCTAATATGCTAAGATATAAATAGACATTGAAAACCAATTGTAATAAAAGTTGAGCTGGAAAAAAAAGTATCTCATTAATATTAACAAATTTTGCAAAAACTGTCACCAAATTGACAATTATTTTCATTCCTTCAGTTATTTATCATTGTTATTATCATGCATTTGTAAATACATTTACATTACATTGGCGTGTGGGTGAATTAAGTAAATATTAGTATCATTCTTGAATTACCATCAAATTCATAATTTATATATAATACTTTCGACAATATTATCACTCCCGAGCGTAGGAGGAATGAGAATTGAATGAAAATTGAAAAGATTTATGAGAAAACATCTTAATTAGTCAGCTAAATGGAATAGATATAAATTCTAACCATGGAATAGAATTGAATGAAAAAAAAAGAACCATGATAATAACTGATAATCAGATCGTTTTCCTATTGAATGAATACAAGAAGAAGAAAAAAAAACTCCATCATTGGCTATTTAACTCGTAGCAATTTTAGAGGATTAAGATTATAGCTAAGGTTAAGTGCGTTCAATATTAATAAATTGCGGAATATAAATACTTGTTTAACTGATTCTTGGATATAAATATATGAGAATTGGTGTAATATTATTATTCATCCGATGGATTTAACCATTTCAAATGAATAACAATCTATAATCTGGAAACAATCAAAAACCATTTCAACAGAATAAAAGGAGAGAGAATGTACATAAATGACCACAAATAGAAATAATAATAATTCCTATGGAATATGATGAGAGAGAGAAAAAAGAAAATCAATAAAAGAATTACCAGAATATCGAGATAATATTCCATCTCTAAAGCTTAAGGTTTAAACGATGAAAAGATTTACCATTTAATATGTAACTTTTTGTTTTCTCTTCCATTTTCATGATAATATAATATTCGATTATTATTATTATTATTATCTTCTTATTCTGGATACTTACCTTGTGATCGGGAATCCATTTTATGGCAACTCGATAATGTCCAGTTATCCAACCCAAAGTAGAACTTGGTTCACAATGAGAAACGCTGTTGTCTCAATCATCTCGATCTATTTGATTGTACCAATATTTTGTGTTCCAATGTACCTTTCGTTTACCATTTCACCGGTGCAAGTTGAACAATCTTATTATTACAGGGTAAGAGAAAATTTCATCTCTCCATCAAATGATAATTGTCAACTTGGTGATAATCAGGTTAATTGATGTGTAACCATTTGGTCAGTTGAAAAAAAAAATGTCCATTCTCTTTAATTGTAACACTTTTCATGATCCATTTCCATCAGTGAAAATATCAAATTGAGAAATGAATTGATTCAAGATTCATTTCTGATAATGGTCACTGAATTTTCTTGTATATTAACATGGTCAAAGTTGTTTCCTTGTTGATCATCCATCATCATTTCATTGGTTTATTTCAGGTTGGAAATATTATTTAAAGATGAAATCATTGATTTCTATCAATCATTTTGTATAATTAAATGTTGACCAAGTTCAGGTTGAGGTCAATACTTGTTGATGTTGTTTGATTAAATGACTTTTCTATCCAAATCATTTATAAATAAATAGAGTTCAGGAAAAGTTCATCGATAGATTCAGCTGATTCTAAATTTGAGTAAAGTAAAAGGGAAAATAAATCACTGGTGAGATTCTCAATATTAAACATGTTTAGTTGGTGGATTGTGTGAAATTGTAACAAAGATTCATGGAGATAAATCCATTCATTTGAGAGATTTTTTTACATGAATGAAACACATGGAATAATGTCAACACACCGGTGGGTGTAGAATACTATTCAGCTGTATGAGAGAGAGAGAATATTGAGAAAGAAAAACACTTAAGGGGAGAGAAAAACATGAGAATCTAGGAGGGAAAACAGGGTGGACCAGATTGAGTAACGAAGAAAAATAAACAGTAAATGGTTTCATCAATTCCATTGGAATATACTTTATATGTATAAGAGAAAAGGTAAAATTTATTACCAAAGGTTTGGGAGTGGATTCTAAGGTAAGAGAAATGGATAAGAATAGAAAAAGAAAATATGTAAATATCATGATAGCAACAAGTTCTGAGAGGAAAATAATAACTCGAATTGGAGAGAATAGAACAAAATTGAATGGAATAGAATAGAATAGAAAAAGAGAAGAACAAAATAGAATAACAATCACTTACCATTTTCGAATTCTTTTTACAATTTCGACTTAAATTGTTTCCTTATTGGAATATTTTTTAATCGTCATCAGGATTCTAAGCGATTACCTCATGAATTTTCAACAGAATTTATCGTTATTAGTAAGATGTAAAGAAGAAGATAAAGTTAACAACATGATAATTTTCTAGAGATGGAAAAATATCAGGAAAAGATGAAAAAAAGTTCTGAGAATGGAAATAAAAACAAATGACTTACATTGAACACCAAACGGAAAGGTGAATTAATTGTTACTCTTAATTGGTCGTGTTGTCAAGGATTAAAGAAAAGAGGATTACCTGTTCAAAGACAATTAGATGAGGAAAAAACAATCCAGATAATAAGGGTAACTGATTGGGAGAAGAGAAACTAAATTAAGACAATTAGTTGAATCTCTATGAAGTAAAATATGAGAATCTTGGATCTCAAGGTGAAACGAACAACCAAAAAAGCTACTTACCTTTTCTGTTAAATTTAAGTTAATTTATCTTGTGAATATCAACCGTTGAGACGGAATTAAATCAATGATCAAACGTAATTAACGATAATCAACTTTGTCTGGAGACAATTAATTAGTTTCAATAAGATTTTGTTTACCTTTAAATCAACAATGTAACAATTAGTGAATCAGGTGATCAAATAGATAAACTTAAGAAAATCAATTGGATTATCTTACCTTTTCTTATCCATTGTAATTAATTTTGATTGTTAATCAGTTGACAATTTAAGATTATTACATGTAAGCGAATGGCAAATCATCTAATTAGATTCAAAATGAAAAAACAATTTGATTCGTCAAGAAGATTTAAAGTTAAGCCTTGAGATTAACAATAAGTTTCGGTTAATCAGTTTTCTTAATTTTTTTCATCTCTTTCTGATTGTTGATCGTTAACTGGATTTCAGGTAATTAATGAATTCCTATTCATTTTCATATATCAAACTCTTACCTTTAATTTGATTTGATTCTATTTCATCTAAAGGCTTCTATTTTTTTCTTCTTTCAATTTCTATCAATAAGAATTTGAAGTTTATTCTGAGAGAGAATAGACTTACATCTCTCTCTCTCTCTCTCTCTCTCTCTCTCTCTCTCTCTCTGGTGCTCGAACTTATCGAAAAGTAAGTTATCCTTAAAGAGAAAACTTTTCATTACAATTAATTGATTGGATCATTTTCTTTGATTGAATGTTTGATTTTCCATCATCATTAGTTGATCTTTATGGGTTTTCACTTGAATCTCAAGAATGGATTCTTAAGAAGGTAAAATTATCCAAAGGCCTCAAGAACATTTTCTTCCCTCCGCCATTTTCCATCTTCATCATCTTGACATTTTACTCTTAATATTTCTCCATCTTTTCTCTATCTTTCTCTCTCTCTCTCCTATCATGATAATTTCTCATGATTATGGTGAAATTCAGTGAAAAATATCTGAACAAAAACTCATTTTAAAGGCATCTCCTTGAGGAGTTTTTTTCCTCCAACTATTACTTTCTTAATATAAGAAAACTTTTACTTCTCATCTTATTCAAACGTAACAACAACTTGATTGTTATTCACTTTTTAATCATTGTAATAATAATCAACGAGAATAAACTATATTCTCGAAGCAACAATTAACTCCCAGTTCGTTGTTTATTACATTGTAAACTAATTATTTCCTCTTTTTCTTTTAATCTAAACCAGTAAACCAAATGTTTAAATTAATTAACCAGAGAAATTGAAAGTAACAATTAAAGATTATCACCAAATCTGAATAACTTTCTCATTTACCAACGAAAACCACTAATCCTAATCTGTTTATTTTAAATCCATTTTCAGATTGATTGGAGTGAAATCTCATTACGACACAATAAATTTCTTAAGAATCTTAATTTTTGGGTGTTTAGTGTAGGAACCAAATTAGTGCCTTGTATTTTATTAACTTACTTCAGTTTGGCAATAATTAAAATCTTAATCGAAGCCGATAAACGAAAGGCTCGACTCAGATCTTCCAATAACAGTAATAACAATAATCTGATGAACAATATTAATAGTAATTCAAAGCCTAATCTATTAACAACCAATGTGACAATTTCGACGACAACAACAATTAACAATAATAATAATTCTGATTCGGTTGATGATAGTAGACGTTGGAGTTATTCACCAGCCTGTGATCCATCAAGCACAATTAACGAAGCAACAAATCGGATTGAATTGTGCCTATCAAAACGTCCGGGTAATCAATCAACACCATCAAGTAAAAATCAACAATTAGACAACAATAATCAACATCAATCTAATCACCATCATCATCACCATGAATCAAGTCAAGCTCATGATCGGACGACTCGTTTATTACTTGCTGTCCTTTTGATTTTCTTGTTAACTGAATTGCCCGGAGGGATTTTAATCGTTCTAAGTGTCTTCCTTGGTGAAACTTTCTTCCAAACAGTTTATTCACCGTTAGGTGAATTACTTGATATTCTTGCGCTAATTAATAGCGCCATCAATTTTATCCTTTATTGTACAATGTCAAGACAATTTCGGATAACATTTAGAAAGATATTTTGCCAAATTGGTGATAATGAAGAGACCGAGTTAATTGCTTCACGTCACAACTTGATAACTAACAAATCAACTAATCATTTAATTCAAAAGAATGGTAAAAGTGAGGTTTCATATGTTTAATTTGCGACAATTAAATGTTTAGATTGTCGCAATCAACTTGATCAGTTTATATTTTTCGCTTTCGCCAAAATAACAAACTTTTACTTTTATTTTTGTTCTGTGCCAACTAATCAAATCTAATTGTTATTAATCAGTTAATTGTTATGATTTTTTTTCTTCTCTTTTGATTTCTTCTCAATTCAGTAGCTATATTAGCCGTAATTATCCTGTGATTATCATTATTATGGCAACAATTTAAATGGTTGTTCAAAGTATTTATAAAGTATAATCAACAATTTTGTTAATTGTTTCGTCTCTACAAAATAAATTAACTAACAACAAAGTATTTATAACAATTAACAGATTTAAATAATTTACTTTTTGCTAATTTTTGCTTTTTTTTCGTTGATTAATATTTAACAACAATTAATATTACTCTTTATGCCTGACAATTAAATAATCAACCGATAAATACCCAAATGAATTGGTTGATCATTGATTGATTGTAAACTTGGAGCTTAAATAATGATTATAAAAGAGCATTTTAATTGTTCATCAATTTAATTGGAAATTTTTAGAATCTAATTGTGCAAAATTTACTTTCAATTGAATTAATTTAGTTGCATTTGTTTTCTGTTTCCACCGATTATGATAATTATTACAAAAAGAGTATTTGATCAATGAGACATTAAAGAAAATCAATTCTAATTGTAAAAGATGATTTAATCAGCCCAATGGATAAGTTTTCAACTTTTTACATTAATCAACAGTCCACAATTAACTGCCAATAGTTGATTTTGGCCTATTATCACCATCGATTATCCATCAACGTGCTTTAAGCGGTATTTTTGTAATCCAATCAAATGTATAAGAAATAATTGTAACTCTCAGTACAATAAAAATCTTGGAAAATTTGACAAATAAGATGAGAAAGTTTCCAATTTATATCGGGGATTAATCATTAGTCACTAATCAACTCGATTTCTTTCTTGATTATTATTACAAACGGAGTATTTGAACATTTTTTGTTAATCAACGAAATATATAAGAAATTATTGTACAGTAAAAATGTTTAAGTTGAAAATTTGATAAACAAACAAGACGAGAAAATTTCTTTATCACAATTTGTTTAGGTGATTAATAAAATCACTAATTGTGAATAAGGGTTTGATAGTGATAACTTGATAAAATTGATCATTAGCAAAATATGGTGACTTGATTAGTAGATGAAGATGATTATGATGATGAAGGTGAGATTCCTTAATTGGTTACTAGATTTTTCTTTGGTAATTCCTTTGTCAGAATCATTAACAACAATTTAGGGATGATCAGTGTATCTATGTAAGGAAAGGATGAAAAAAAAAGAGACGATTAGATTTAATATACAGTTAATTAAGTCTTCATTTATCTTAAAGTTAATTAGTTACTTTGTTAATTAATTGGAAAAACTGTTAACGCTCGATATTCCCATTTGATCCTTAGTCCACCGGGTTGTCGTTGGATAATCCACTTCAAAAATGGCCTGGAATCGGAATTAAATGGTGAGATCGGTCCTTCTAAGTTGATTGATGGACAAATGAAATCAAGGAAATCAAATATTTTGTTGGCTTCTTCGATATCATTCATAACTGGGATCATGCGAACACCAAGTAATTTAATTAGATCGAGTTTACTTAATGTAACTGGAATTTCATAATTCTCGGTATCGCTAAGGTACAGGTAGATACATAGTGTCGCATTTAACTGGTAAGGTTCACTTTTTTTCTGACATTCTGGACATGAGATTTTAGTTCTAGGCCCAGATAATTTCTTAATTGTATTGATTGTGCTGATAGAAGGTGACTCCTTGTAATCACAATTTGGACAAACCAATTGAATGTAATCAATTATGCTTCGGGATATTGGTTTGTAGCTCATTACTCTGGCTTTAATACAACACCGTTCATCTGTATTTGCAGCTAAATAATCTTTGATTCCTATTAAATTTTCGGGCTCGTTTAGGTCAAAAATTACGGGAAATTGAACATCATAAGATAATTTTGACTTTTTTACAGAGATTATTGGTTTAGGACTCTCTTTGTTTTTAGGTGATTCATCTGAAATGGATGAGCCGATATCCGATATGTCACAAATTACATCTGCAACATCATCGGAGTTTAAAAGCTGAGTTGAATGAGCTGGATTAAGAGTAGAGTTTGAATCGACAATTTCTTCAATAATCGTTTTGGGAGCATTTGATTGTTTGGGTTGATTTTCTGTTGGTGTTTTGATATTCATCTCTTGGTGTAATTTTACCATCCGTGATTTATAACCAACACCAAGAAAACTGTTTGGATGAACAGTTCGTATCATTTTACCATAATGAGTTCCACCTCGTAAATGTAGCTCAAAATTTCCTGGTTGTAGTTTAGCTTCGGATGCTTGTAAGTTAAAAAAAGCGATAAGTGATCCTTTCTCAAGTCTTCTGGCCTTAATAGCATGACGATCCCAAGCGGTAACACAGACCAGTTTATCCATAGGAAAACCTTCCCATTGTTCACTTGGTATAAGCCAATTAATCCGAAGACCAGGATTGAAAGCATCATAAACAATCAAGATGACTCGATGAGGAGCCAAATCTTTAATGTCAACAACTTGACAAACCAAATCATACCAAGTGGGTATTGTAACTGTTCTTAAGGAAACTTCCAATAGTTTATTTGCCAACCATTTCTCCAATTCGGCAACTCGAGCAAAATCAGACAATTCAATTGTTGGCTGTTTAGCTTCAAAACGAACCTTATAAGAAGCAGCATCTTTATCCTTGAATGAAGAAAACAAAAGGACATCACTAACTTTAATACATCTAAACTGTGTACCACCACAACTTATTAGACGATGGATTCGTATCACATTACCAGGCTTAATATGAGGTAAAATGGCCTCAAAAGTTGATGAGAAATTAACTTTAATTGAATCATATGTTTCATCTCGGATGTAAACTCCTTGCTCATGATATTTACGAATTACACCAAAAATGTGATTATATTTATCAGAAGAATTAAGAATCGATTTAAGGGAAGAATAATGATATTTACTAGTGGACATAATTACAAAATTAAATTAGAGTAAATTAAACAAAACTCAAGAGAAAATTGAATTAGCAACAATTAGCAAATTCCAACACAATAAATGTAAACAATTACATCTGAAAGATTTTCCCGCTTATCTGAATAGAAGCGCGATAATCAAACAATCATCCACTTGGAATTTCACTTGAATTGATTAAACTTACAATTCTTTTAAATTAATTAACAATCAATTGATTGGAAAAGATACTTGAGTTGTTATTATAGTTTTTGGATAATTTTTAAATAAACATTGACATTTGTGAGAATAAAATTCAAGTGGAAAATTAAATTAATCGAAACAATTAAGAGAAGAATAAAAATTCTATCCACCAGGTGGCGTTTCAAGTTCTTTTCTATTTCAACATTTGGCTTTTATTTTGATTTATTCTCATCTGTTTATTGAATTTGAATTTGATTTTTTCTTTTTGTTTTGGTGTGTTAATTGTTTTATATCGAATTAATTTGATTTTCTACATATTCTTTTTTCCTCGTTCTCATTAATTAGTGATTCAGTTTTCGTGTTGGTTGGTTGTTGACTAGTCCCGAGGTTCGATTATGATTAAAAAACAAACTCCGAGTGATTTTCTCAAGCAAATTACTGGTCGACCGGTTGTTGTAAAGCTTAACAGTGATGCTGATTACCGAGGAGTATTGGCTAGTCTTGATGGTTATATGAACATTGCTTTGGAACAAACTGAAGAATATGTCAATGGACAATTAAAGAACAAGTATGGAGATGCTTTTATCAGGGGTAATAATGTTTTCTACATTAGTACCTCTAAAAGAAATTAACATGAAAACAAAAACAATCCACCCACATTACTATTACCTTGATGATTGAAAAAGAAAACAAGAAAGAGTAAAACTTGAAGAAGAAACAAATGAAAAGCCCAAAAATGACAATTAATTTGACATTATTTGTTTCTTTACAAATGAAAATTGTCCATTGTAAACCTATTTCCGTTAACAACTGTTTTAATTGACAATAAACAACATTGAAAGGTAAACTATCAACTTGAAATTACAATTTAATTTGTCTAAAAAAAGCAAACAAAGAGAGGAAACTAGCCAATCAGCTGAATTGATTGAGCCGAAACTTTTCCAACTCCCTCTCGGCTGAAACTTACGAAAGTCTAAAAAAAGTGACAATTAAACTGAGAGAGAGAGAGAGAGAGTGAAACCATTAGGATTGTATTCATCAGAAATCAGGTCAACTGTTCAATTATAATTCGATAGAATTGTTGATTTCTCCCTCATCTCCATCATCTCATAATTTTAGACAACGAAAGGTAAACCCAAGTACCAAGTGAGAGGTGGAACCCGAAACTGGTTTAGGTAACCAGTTTTCCATTACGGTATTGATTGTAAATCTCTAAATTGTTGTTGTTGTTTTTTATCATTTCCATTCTAACAGTTAACAGTCTAACCCACACATTCACTGAAATTCACTTGATGATCAACAATTAATTTGGTGAAAAAATTTAAAGTTATGGTTGAGACAATTAAGGATTTTTACAGAGATCAGTGTATCTTAGTGACCGGTGCCTCTGGATTTTTGGGTAAAGTTTTAATTGAAAAGTTACTTCGTGATTGTCCAACTCTTGGTACAATTTATGTTCTACTTCGAGCTCGAGGTGGTCAATTACCACAATCCCGTTTACGTGAATTACTTGAATCTCAAATATTTGATTCAATTCGTAGTGTCAATCCTTCAATCTTAACCAAAGTCAAATCAATCTCAGGTGATATTACCTTTGAAGGTCTTGGTCTTAATTACAATGATTTAAGTGAATTAAAGGAAAACGTTTCCATTGTGATACATTCAGCAGCAACAATTAGATTTGATGAACCAATTAAGTGAGTATTCATAATTTATATTATATATATTTATACTTATATTTACAGTTATTGATTGTTTAACAATCAACAAATTACATCAGATTATTTTTAGTTGAATGTATTTGACTAAACACTACAAACCAGATATAATTATCATTCATTGCCTCAAGCACAATTAAACAATTTTTAACTTTCTAAATTTGGTTCATCCGGCTATTAATGATATTAATGTGTCTCTAAAGTTAATCAGGTCGACAATTTGTTGAATACATAATAATTTTAATCACAATTACAATGAAAATTAACTATTAATATTAATAATTAACTGGCTTAATGCCTAACAATTAAACACTTATTCAATTATGACCAAGACATTTTTTTTTCTTTAATTTGTTTGATTGCTCATGTTTAGCCTTTTAACTTGATTGTTATTAAATTGTTGAATCCTTGAAACCAATTTTTAACAGTGAATCGTCAATGTTAAATCATGATTTCCATTATATTATATGTTTTATAATTTGATTTTATTCACTGATTTTCTCATGCTTATTTAATCACAATTTAACTTTCCATCAACAGGAGAGCCATTCAAATCAATGTCACTGGAACCAACCGAGTTTTACATTTGTGCCATCAATTAAAAAATCTTAAGGTAAATAATCAACAATTAGTGAGAGAAAAAAAAACACACACACACAATTAACATAACTAACAATTAAAAGACTTAATCATCATATTGATTAACTTAATCATCATCATCAACTAATCACCAGAGTAAATTGTCTGTTTACTCAATCATCTTGTTATTCATTAATTGATTCATAGTTATTGTTTTGTGGTTTCTTTTTCTCAATCAATCATTAATATTATCATTTTCTAATCTTTTTAATTTGATTCTTCTCGTTGATTGTAATTAAACTTTAGGCCTTGGTTCATGTATCTACAGCCTATTGTAACATTGAGAAACATGGAATCCAGGAGATCGTTTATCCAGAACCAATTCCAGTTTCTAAAGTGATTCAAGCTTCTGAGTAAGAAGAATCAATCACAATTTATATATATATATAATTAAATTACTGATGATGGTGGAGAGAAAGTTTTCTTTTAAATTGTTACACCATTCACCTGACAATCAGTTGGAATCCACGATAATTAATCGCTAATCAAGATTAGGAAACATTATAAATCCCTCGCTCAAATATTATTGTATATAAATGATGTTTAGTTAATTTCTTTTTAGTTTTTGATCAATTTTCCTCAACAAATTTTCCCAATTATCATGATGATGAGAAGATTAATAGTTAATTATAATCTTCCCTAATTCAGTATCAATAATTTGTATTAGAAGATAATTAGATTCTCATCTATGATTAGTATTGTCCTTCACAGTTGATGAAATTTGGTTAACAAGAAAATTAGAAAAACTTTTCACTTTTTTTTTGAGGGAATTTTTTTTTTCTCAATTTTTCACCATCATTTTTCCTTCTTCACTTAATCACAATTAACATTTAATTATATTAATTATCTTCTCTCTTTTCTCTCTACAATTAATAAGGTGGATGGACGATGATTTACTGAGCAACATTGCTGACCAATTGTACAATGGACGACCAAGTAGTTACCATTATACTAAAGCTTTGGCTGAAAATTTGTTACATCAAGAAGGAAACGTTTTACCAATCGCCATAGTGCGACCTTCAATTATCACCGCTTCTTGGAAAGACCCGATTCCAGGGTGGATTGATAATTACAATGGACCCTCCGGGTTCCTTGTCTCCTCTGGTAAAGGTGTACTTCGTACCATGCACGTTCATGGTGAAAAAATTTGTGATATGATTCCGGTTGATATTGTTGCCAATACATTGATTGTCTCTGCTTGGTATGTTTCAACCAAAGCAAATGAAAGTCCAACGGTGATTAACTGTACATCAGGATCAATTAATCCAATCACTTGGAATACCTTTCAAAATCTTTCACATAATCTACTGATTAAACATCCATCTAATCAGTTATTCCGTTATCCTGGAGCTTCATTTCACTCCAACAGGCTTGTCCATACATTTTTCCTTCTCCTTGAACATTATATTCCCGCCTTTGTTGTTGACCTTCTATTCAAATTTACTGGACATAAACCAATGTAAGAACTGTGATTTTAATGATCTCATCCTCTCATCTATTCAGATCTTTGTAATTAATTGATTTCTATCTCTCTCTCTCTCTTTCTTATATTTGTTTTACAGTTTAAATCAAGTTTATCAGAAAGTTCATCGAGCCATGAATGCATTGGAATATTTCACTACCAATGAGTGGACATTTAGAAATGAAAATTTTGTCAACTTAATGAAATCATTGGAACCTGATGATTTTACCAAATTCAGCCTCGATGTTGGATCAATTAATTGGTGTGATTACATTGAGAATTACATTCTCGGTGTTAGAAAGTATCTTTTAAAAGAGGATCCAGCAACATTGCCTAAGGCAAGAAAAAACATCAAAAGGTAAACATAAACCTACAAATGTTGTAATAAACAAAATAATTGACATTTAACTAATTACAGGTCATTTTAACCAAACTAATTAATCTAATTGTTTGCTTTTCATTTTCAATTTCTAGACTTTACCTGATCACACAGATGATTAAAGTTGGATTTCTGTTCACGGTGACTTACCAATCGCTCCACAAGCAATCAAGCCTCCATAGGAGTCTAGATGTTGTTCGTAAATTAAGCCTTCGAATCAACAACAAACCACAATTAATTTAAATTAACCTGTAATTTGTTTTGTTTGCTTTGCAAATTTATACAGTTTATAAAACAATTAACTCCAATGGAAAACAGCATCTCAAGCAAAGCTCACAATTAACAACAACAACAATATATCATTTTCACTTCGCCAAAAGTTTTTCCCATTTGCCTTTGATAAAATTACAATTACAATTAATAAAAATGTTTTAATCATCATCACAATTAATTGTTGTACGTGTATTGAGTTGATCATATTTAAATTCCTGTCTTTCCATCATGAGAAACTGATTAACTCAGGAATTTAAATCCAGTTGTATTCCCATCAATTTAAATATAATCTCAATGTCTAATTAACTATTTGCAAAGTTAAATGATAGATTGTAACTTGTTAAATTAAGTTAAATTGTTAACATCTAAAAATATTAACTTGTTAATTCCTGGTTTGGTTGAACGAGATGGCAGAAAATGAAAATGTTTCAAATAATTAACTTAATCATCGTGATGATAAACATCATTAGTTGGTACAAGTAGATTAAAAGTAAGATTGATTACAATTAGTGATTAATCATTGATTTAGTTGATTTGATTTGAGTCCACAGGAATCAGTTGATCACAGTTGAGTTTTTGGTAGATAACATTTTTACCTTCATTGGCAACTTAATTAACTTTCAAAACCATGATAATTAAGAATCAGTACTAAGAAAAACATGATTAAAACACTGACCAATTAACTGGTTGTAATATAACATTATCAACAATTTAAACCGGTTTAGTTGATTACTTGTTTCAGGCAACAATTAAGTGAAAGTTGAGATTGAAATGAACAGAAAATGTTTGATTCAGTTTCGGAAACAAACACAAGATCATTGCGATTAAACAATTAAAAGTTAATAATAAAGATTATGAATAAATTAGTTAATTCATTTACCTTCTAATATCAGTTAATTGTCGGTCTATTGAATAATAACAATTAACTTAATCAATACAATTTAAAGTAAAGCGAAATCTATTATCTTACAATCTTAATCATCTTGTGTTCGGTTTGATTACAATCAAAATGATGGAAAATGATTAATTTCTAGGATGTTAATAGTAATTACAATTAACAACAAGATGATGAGATTAACAATTAACTCGTAAACGTGATTTGTTTTGATTGTTTCCTGTTTCCTTAATTACCGTAAGTTTTAAAGGTAAATTAGTTCATTTGGTAACCAATAGTAATACATAATATTGGAAAACAATTAAAATATTTTTAAGTAATTTGGTAAATTGTCCGGAACTGAAAACTGAGAGTTACAACGATTTACTGATTACCATATTAATAGCAATTGGTAAATTGTTACAATTAGTTTGGGCTACAAGCCAATTAATTGATGAGTAACCCAAAAAAAAATCATCATCGATGAGCAATTTAAAAAGATCAGCAAAAATATTTTCCTCAATCCAATAATTTAACAAGTATGTTGCAAATCAATTTACAGCTAATTGTGTTTTCTCACAATTAACTGATTGCATTAATTGTGAAAGACAGAAACAATCACAATCAAGTTAATTGACAAAGTCAAATTATCTCAAGAAATAACAAAGATCAGAAAGTCGAGAAAGTAAAATATAATCAGAATAAATTGTCACCAATTCGGAGCGAAAAGATGATCAATTACAATAAGATTGATTTCTCACCATTATTTTCATCATCACCATCATCATCATTATCTTCATCTTCATCTTCATCCTCATCTTTATCTTTTCAGGAAGATAATAATAATTCATAGAATTTATTATAACTGTGGTTAGAGTATTGGTGTTAATATGGTTTCGAGCTTTGGTTTGACTCCAAAAAAGGTCCATCATTGGCCTTGATGAATTCTTGTCTTCCTTATCGTCCTCTCATCTTCCTCCTACAAATCTTTACCTTCTCTCTGTCTCAAAACGACATGAGGATGATAAAGATGATGAGGAAGAGAGAGAGAGAGAGATGAGAGAGGCAAAGAGTCAAGTTCAGTTGGAAATCCAAAGTTAGCCTCGAAATTGCATCAACTGAAAACTTTTCCCATTCTTTTCAACTTGTTCAAAGTAATTAATCAACTTTAATTACAATCAAAATTAACACTAACGGTTATCCTAAAAATAAACTGTTAATAAATTTACTTTTCAATCCATTGGTGAATCAATTTAATTGCTACAATTTTAAGTTAATCATTGATAATACGATTAACTGAAAGAGGAATAAAAAAAAATTATATTTTTTTACTTTTACTCACAATTAACTGATTTTGATTAATTTAAAACTTTCAATGGTTAATTTTAACTTGATTATTGACTAATTGTTAACTTTAATACTAAATCTAGAGACAATTATTATTGATTATCATTGTCAATGTCAAAGTTAATTGTGTTAAAACAATGGATTAAAAAACTCACCTACAAATTTCAACCTTTCCGATCTGATTAGTTTGATAATTAAGTTCAAATTACAATTATAAGAAAATGAGTTTAATCAGTGATTAATTAACACTAATCATAGTCTATCAAGTTAATAACTTTTTGATTGATTGTTGTTGTTTTTTTTATTCTTACCTCAATTAGATTTGATTTGATTGTTGCCGTTAATTCATTGTGATTGTTTTGATATATTCGTGATTAATGTTTGACAACAATTTGAATCGTTTTTTTTATTTGCAACAATCAAGGTCAAGGGCAACGTTGATAATCAGTTAATTGTAGTAAATTAGGTGAGAGAAAAAAAGTTCCAATCAATTACAAACAATTGGATAACAATTAATAAGAGAAAGTGAAATAATTAAGCAACAAATCAATATCTTAATTTAATCAACAAACGACCAATTAGCTTGATTACTAAACAAAGATGTAATCAAGATGATATGTTGAAAGTTAATTGTTGAGATTGAAATTGAATTGAAATTTCAATTCTGTCCTAATTTAATTAATCACCAATCAAAATGTAAAAGTCAAGGTTTGGATAACATTGAATATGAGTCAGAATTTAGATTGTAACAATTAATAAATTGTAAAAGAAAAGTGATTAAAGGCTAAACAGTAAATTATGATTACGATTAAATATTGAGATGGATCAAGGAGATAATGAGGATAAGGAAGATGAGGAAGATGAAGGTTCGATGTTTAAACTCCCAGTTCGAAGATGAAAAGAGAGAGAGAGAGAGAGATGGACAAGATTGATAGAGAAGAACGAAAGAAAAATGGGTCAATGGAATTTAAATGGAAGAAGATGATAAATAAGAAGATACGATGAAGATGGCGAAGAGAAAACGAAAACTTCGCAGAATAAAAATGGAAGAAAAGAAAACGGAATGTAACTAGATGAACCTCTTCATCTTCTCCTATGGAAGAGTAACATTCATCTTCTTTATGTAAGAAGATGAGGATGAAGTGAGTCTAATCCATCGATCTTCCTTATCTTCATCTTCTTCTTCTTACCAAAATCCTCTAGTTACTTTTCATCTCATTTTTCCATCTTCCTTTTCACAGTGAGAATTCAGATCGATATCGATTTAACATCTTCCCTCATCTAAATCTTTCTTCATCTTCATCTTTATCTCCATCATTTCCGTTTCCCTTTTCACCTCTTTTTCTCAGTAAATTTGTTATATTTTTCTCCTTCTCTTAAATTTTATCATTTCAAACTCAATCTTACGGTAAACCTTAATTACTGTTCCAGATTAACTTTCGACTCTTTAATTGCAATTGACATAATTAAATCAATTATCCATTCATCTTATGTCAACATCATTTGTTTTCCTCTTTGTTATCATCTTTTATCATCTTTGTCTTTTCATTTTGTTTCGGCTTCAGTTGCTTATTTTAATTACAATTAATCAATTAAATTGTTATCCAACCAATGGTTCCAACAATAAATCAATTATTACCATTATCATGATACATCATCACAATCAATTGATCAATTTTAACAAACAAAGTGTGTCATTAATTGTTTACAACAATTAAAAGTAATCAAAAATTAATTGTAATCAAGTACTCATCTTATATAAGTATTAGGATTTATAAGTAAATAAGCTGATGATGATTAAATTTAATCAATTGTCCTTGAAGGCCCTTTGATCAACAATCAACACTTGAATTATTCAATTATAAGCAATCAACTGATTAACTGACTATGTAAATAGATTGGCACAATTTACCTTTAATTGTAATCAGACAAATCAAAAAAAAAGATTCTCATACAGAATAATTATTTCTTAATTATTACCAATATCTTACCGATAATCATTACAATTAAAGAAAGGTACTTGTAATTGTGAGTTTTATTACTCATGATACTAATAGTAAACAATTAACTTGATTAACTAAAGACAATTAACTTTCAATTATGAAAGAAAAACAAAAATCAAATCAAAGGTAAAAACTTATAATACAGTTTATGATGTGATGACAATTTGTTAATTGGAAATTGGAACCACAATAACCCTAATTTAATTGTTAACCTTCAGTTAATGTAAATCGTTTAAGGTTAAATTGTTATAATCAGAATAATAATAAATTAAATTAATATAAAAACAAAATTAAGCTCCAGGGTAAAAGGAAGTTGAAAGTTACCTTGATTAACAATGAGCTTCCTGGTTCAAGGAAATCAAATGATTAACTAAATTAGAAACATTTTTGTTTTCTAATTGATTGAATTAAATTAATGGTTTGTAATCATTTGAATTACAATCAAGATGTAAAATTAATCATAATCAACAATATGATGAATTAAAGTTAATTGACACTCATTTAATTTTCCAATAATCTTTGATCACTTTTAATTTACTAATTTTCTAAGGTAATTGTTATCTAATTGTTGATTCACCCGGAGGGTTGAAACAATTTACCAGAAATCTATTATTATTTAACAGTTAACTTAATTGCTATGGTTATGATTAAAAGCTAATTGGTGGCCAAGTTAAAATTGATTAGTACTCAAATTATACTTATCAACACTCGCACTTTTTTAAAACAATTTATTGATTATTATTAAATTGTTGGTATTTGGTTAATCATCAAGATCACTTTACCTTGATTACCTTGATAATTACGTGACTTGAATCGAGTAAATTATTAGTTAATTGCGATGGAAACAAGTTTGATTACGAATCGTTAGTTAGTTTTTCTCCTTATTTTCTGTTGATTGATCCTTCAGAGAAAAGATGAGAAAATGAATTAAATTAATTAATATAATTAAAAAGAAAATGATTGTTAGTTGTTTATATGGAATATGGATGATAAATGATTAACTAACTATCGTCACAATTAACGTCACGAGTAATTAATAACATATTCAGGTAGTAATCTAATTGTCATTACAATTTCCCTTTTCATTGTTGTCTCAAGTTTTGATTAATTTCAAAGTTTATTTCAACTTTACCATTGAAAATTTAATCGTTAATTTGATTGTAATTAATTGTTGAACCTTTCGAGCCACGATTATTTTATAACGTGCTGATGGTGGCATCTAACGAGTGGTGTTAATATTAAATCGGCACGTTAATTGGGACAATTTATAATTCAATTGATGGGATAATGAAAGGTTGTCAAAATGTGGGAAAATTGTAATGACAATTAAATCAAATTACATGTGAATATGAATATTAAACTGTGATTAAGCCATGAAACCATTACCATTGATCGTAGTTAATTTAGTTTATGTTGATTGTTAAAGATGATTAGAGTGGAGATGATTAGCTCTCTCTCTCTCTCACTCTGTTGATGGAGGGAGAGATTCTCCAAAGGGAGTTATTATCTCCTTTTTCTCGGTTTCTTGAGATACTAATTGTAGACTTGAGATTATGTTTATATCCAATCATCATTTTCCCATCCTGATCATTGGTATGTCGTTGTGTTCATCATCTTTCTCATCATCTTCAGGCTTTAGGCTTCTTCAGATACTTTACCTTAGTTCAGTGTTTTTATTTTCACTTTTCTGCTGATCCAAGTAAACAGATCAAGATGAAGATGAGGATGAGGATGAAAATGAAATTAACATCTTTCCAATGTTTGGTGTTACTTGTCAATCAAATTTTAACCTCTAATTGGCCTCTAACAGCGTTACGAGAAGGAAAGAGAAATAGATAGATGGTTAGATAGAGAGAAAAAAATAAGATGAAGATGAATTTGAATTTGTAAAGATGAAGAGAAAAAAATAATTCAAGAGAAATAAGTTTTCTTTGGAAAAGAAAAGCGGGAAATTTTGAAATTGTTATGCAAAATTGATAAAAAATTGAAAGCAAAGCAAATTGAGGAAAAAAAGGCAAGAGAGATGCGAAGATGGGATGAGGAAGAGAAAAAAGGAGAGAGAAAAAGGCTGATAGAGGCGAGAGAAACAAGGTCAGAGAAAAACCTTTTCTTTCGTCATGGGAGATTCACTTAGATACTTTGGATGATATTCAGAGAGACAGAGAAAGAGAAAGAGAAAAGTCAAATTGTAATGGACAGTTGAAGATGATTACGAAGAAGATGAAGATGAAGATGGAGATGGTTAAAGCTTATCCAATGTTGTTGTCGTTGTTATTTGCCTTCTTTTATCTCTCTCTCTCTCTCTCTCTCTCTTTCTCTTCCCTTATCATCTTCATCATCTAGAGGCATCGGGCAGATGGGCTAACAGAGTATCTACTTACCGATGTTTGACCTGAGGACATTATAAAGGTCGACTTTTTCATGTAAAAATGATGACGGAGAAACTTGTTGTTGGCGACAACTTAAAGGATGATGATGAGGATGATAAGAGGAGAGAAAAAAAGAGAGATGATGTTTAAATTGAATATGTTAAATAGAATGATGATGATGACGAAGAGAAAGTGACCTCAACCCGGTTACAAATTGATTTTTTTTCCTTTGATCTTTGAACAAATGTTTATAACGGATCACCTTTACGTCCTCTCTCAGTTTCTACTTACTCACTCATTGCTCCTCTATTATCATCACATCGGCCTCATCATCTTCCTCCTCCTCCTCCTCCTCCTCCTCCTCCTTTGGGATATTATATTGGTACCAAAATGTTGACCGTTATTTGATCTTCCAATTGTTTCTCATTCTCTGAAAGATGCAATAAAAATAATATTAGTACAATATAGTAAACAATTTACTCTTCTTTCAATTTTTTTCTGCTTCATGATTTCCTATTATACAGTTAATTGTACTAGTATTACCCTTCCGGTTTTGACCTCAGTCAAAGACAAAAAGGTCAATACTACATAGGAAACATAATAGCTCGAGTATTAACTGTCCGGCAAACATAATGAGAGAAAACGGATCAATAAATGTATTTAGAAGAGAGAGAAATACGGAAATAGGTAAATTGGAATAATGGTAATTCATAAATGGAGGTTTCAAGTTTGGGAGAAAAAACATATTTTCTCTCATTGTTGTTAACTAAATACAGAATTAAACACACGCGGTCAACATTCATTGTTATCATTAAATAGTTAATACGATCAACATATAAATTAGACTAGCGTATTAATAGCAATTTGGCAATTGCTGTTGTTGTTTTTCATCATCATCAAAAAAGATATATTATTTTTCCACTCGCTTTCTCACTAAGTTTCTCTCTCTCTCTCTCTCTTCCATCCAAACATAATCTTCATTTTTATATCTTCTCTCTCTCTCTCTCACTCACTCAATTAGAGTCTTCTCTTCTTCTCATCTTACAGTCACCTCACATAGATATTATTCAATCAACCATACACCCTTTTTTACATATGAATATAGAAAAGTCAAAAGCTCTTAAAAAAAGCAACACCACACAATAAAAATGGTCAAAGCTTTTTTTATGAGATAATATTTACAACCATACAAACCCAATTATACTCACGGTGAAGCAGATAATCCATCAGGTAATAACAAAATGAAAATGAAGGTAAATTATTACTTTCTCTCTATCATCCGGTAACCAATGGTTAGTCATTTTTACTAAGCCAAATCACCCATAATCATCATCAACATAGGTCATAACAAATCAACAAAAAGAGAGAGAGAAATAGACAATTTTCATCATAAAAGAATAACAATTGAATTAATATTATCCTTGTTAATTCTATTCTCAAAGAAAAAGTGGGTGAGAGAGAAAAGATAGGGAGCTGGATAAAAAGAATACAGGGATTAACAATGAACAAAAAGAACTAATAATCAACAAAAATAAAAAGAAATCAATTAAATTAATAACAATAGAAAACAAATTAATCAAAACATTTTTGTTTTCCAAAAAAAGAATAAAAAATTAACGAAGAAAAGAAAACCAGAGGGAGCCACTTAAACCGAAAATTGGAAAATCGAATGTGAATCAACGCCATCTACTGGTGTAATTAACTCGAAACTCATTTAATTTCTTTAATCATTTTTAACTTTATTTACTTTTATATTGATTCCAAGTGATAAACAGTAATGATAAAGAGAAAAAAACAAAATTACAATCCCGAGATAATCTAAATACTTTATTCCCGTAATTGATTTAAGATTAAAAACAGAGATTAAAAGCTGACCATTTATAATATGGAGAAAAAGTAAAAAGTAAAAGTAAGAAAAATTCTTGAAAAAGATTAATAGTAACAATTAGCTTGAGGGAATTGAATAATTTAAGATGATGTTGATGATGGAATATAAAAATCACCGGAACAAAGATGATTTAAGTTACCATGATGACGATGATCAAAGTGAAATCATGAGCATGATAATATCATGAATCAGAATGAATTATTTTTAATCAAAGTTAATAGTTGGTTCCAAATGATGAAACATAATCATTATATTATTAACAATAAACATGATAAATTTCAAGGAGAAAAGGAGGAGATGAAGATAATCATAACATGACAATCTAATATTATAATAATTCATCATCAATATTGACTTAAGATAATAAAGTTACCGTTTCTTTGATTATTTGATTTTCGGTATAAACCATTTCTTGATTATTCTAAGTACTTAAGATTTTCACTTAATCAATTAGTTAATCATCCACTTAATCACAGTTACTGGAAAATCCAATCAAATATCAAATATGGATAAAGATTTGAGGCGAAAAATTTTCTTCTTTTTTTTAATAGAAAAATTATCAAGAACAAATCTTATTCTTATTTTTTCACAAGAGATTTAATTTTAATCACTAATCTTATGGAGAGAGAGAAATATAAGAATATCATAATTAACTGACTAACTACAACAATTTAATTCGTAACTATCAATTACTAAGAAAAATAAGCAAAACAAGTTAAAAGTTAATCATAATCGTAACGATAATCATAGTAATAAAAACAGCGAAATCCAAGTTGCGAGAAGGAAAAAAAAGTCACCATAAAAATGGAAGAAATTTTTTTCTCTTCCAGATCATTTTGCTCCTTCTTACCCACTTTGAGAATCATTTCATCATCATCTTCATCTTCATCTTCATCTTCATCATCTATTTCATCTTAATCTTCATCTTCTATTTGCATTTATATTAATACATTTAAAACCGGAAACACTTTAAGTATCCTAATGATAAGATCTTAGATGTTGGATTGACAGAGTGGAAAACAAAAATGATTATGTAGATGACGATGATGATGATGATGATGATGAAGACAGGGAGGATGATGAGGTGGTGGTAGTGTAGGGGGAGGATGATTATCAACAATATAAGTCAACGTAATTGAATTATAAGTAATTTACGATGGTTAAAATAACGAAACCAAGGTTATCATGATTTTATCCGAAACAATAAAAACCAACAACAAATTGATATGATGATGATGATGATGAAGATGATGAAGATGATGATAGGCATGTTGGTACAAAATGATGACTTTCTCTTTGTCTGTCGACATGTTCACAGTTGTTGTCGCCACTTCCTCTTTAATCATCTTCATCATCATCATCCATCAAAATGGAGGAAAAAAAGACACAAACACACATACAAAGATCCATTGAATTCATTGAAACAATATAAGTGAAAACAATAGATTCTGGAAAAAAAAAGTTCTGAGTTCTGATTTCTGATTTCTCACTAATCTCATGCTCTATCTATCTATCCATCTATTTATATATTTCCCTTACAGAATTGAGATTCACCCTGAGGGTTTTACTTTCATGTTCTCATCATTTTGTTGTTCAAGGTTCAGTTAATTGATTGACAGTTTGATTGAAAAATATGATAAATCTCATCATCATCTTAATCCAAATCACTTTGACCAATAACCCTTAATGGTTAATTCAGTGATCTAACTAATTGTTTATCTCTATAATTATTAACTTGATGGTAATTATGGTTTTTTATTTTACCTTTTCGATAATTATTATTATCATCAATTAGTTTGTCAATTGTAGTAAACCTTAATTACTTCATGATTTGTAACAAAGATAATTTCAAAATTCAATGATAATGATGAGTATTAATGTAATTGCTCTTGTTCAACATTTCATGTTGTCAATCAACAATTTAGTTTTGATCAAAACTGTTGATCAAACCGATGAAGATGATTATTAACTTAGTTTAATCAACCTTCAAGGTTAATCATTAAGGATGAGAAATTCAACAATTAACATGAAATATATAAATACATAAACAAGGAACAGAAAAAAAATCTAATAATTACCATGCAAAAATCATGATAATTATCAAAATTGATTGTGAATCAACTCAAAAATTAAAATTAAACCTGAAAAAAAAAACGTTTCATGTTTCAGGAAATTCAACAATCAAACATTTTGATTCATTGATTAAACTAAATTAGTTTCATCAACAAGTCTCAATGAAGATTTGTTTTTCTGGCATGTTAATTGTTGCCAACAATTAACTGGTTTAAAAAACAAAATGATGACAGTGTCACCAAATATTAACAAGGATGATTAGTATCACAAGAAGATGCAATGTAATTGATTGATTAAATTGTTTCCAATTTAAATGTTCAATTGATATGAAGCAAACAATTGAAGTTGATTAACAGTTTATTGTAATAACTTGTCGTAGTAGTTAAGATAAACTTAATTACAATCTATTTAGGTCAAATAATCAGCAATGTCAACTTGATAACCATGATAACGAATCATCATCATGAGGCTCAACTTTACAGTTTCCAATGTAAATAATTAGTTGATCTGTTCAATGTTCATGAATTCATGATGACTTCAACTTTTACGTGATAATCATCATCATCATCTTCATCTTCATGATGATGATACAAGACGAAAAAACCAGCACGCAATCAACAGTTTCAGTTGAAAGTGACACATCATTTTCACCTAGATTTGTGAAATAATAATAATAATAATAATCTTAATCACTTTCCTGTTATGGATTAAGTTATTAAGAGATGAAATCAGTGAATGAGAGAGGGAGGGAGTTGAATCATGGTGATGATGAGGATGAAAAAGGCAATAAACTGAATGTTTATTTACCCTGAATTTTAGTGACTAAATGATTAGTTAACTAAAGTAAAAGTTATCAAAACAAATCAACAACAACAACAATTTAATGTTGATTTAGATTCTCGTAAGTTTTTAGTATTAGATGATAATAAAAACGTTGAATGTTAATTATCATGATAATAATAAGCAATTGGCAAGAATGATGAAGATGTGAAATATTATTTTTATCATCATGATTATCATGAAAGATAAAGTTTGATTTTAGAAAATTAAATTTGATTATTAATCAGATTTTTATCGGACGGAAATTTTTTTCTTCCTTTTTTTCAGACACTTTTTTATTACTATTTAATTGGAGCGGAACAAAAAGTTCAGTTGTTATTCAGTCGGTTTCATGATGAATATCATTTTCATCTGGATTCACTGAAATTAAATGTAATAAATAAATTAACGGATAGTTGGTAATAATAATTAATTAATCTAATCAATTGTTCATTAGACTTATACACATTCTGAATAACGATAATATCTCCCAATTGAGAACATGAAAGTTACCATGATAATGATTATTTCTGTCTGGTTAATTGTTAGAGTTCATTTATCTTAATCATAACCATTTAATCAATTTAATCATTATCATGACAATCCCCATGGGTGAAATCAAAGTGTTCAGACTATGATGATGATCATCATGATTAACATGAAAACTTTTTATTAGACTATTGACTTTGAGACTTTGTCTTCGTCGTGACGAAACTTGGCTTAGAACAAAAAATTGTCTCGAATGTTTATTTTTATCGAATCGAATTTTTTTTCCTTCATTTAGAACTTTTTTTCTATCAGTTTAATCCTTTCCTCTTTCAAATGATATTTAATTACCAAATGGATTAAGATCAAGAGATTATCTTTTCCTCCAAATGATTAACATCCTTCTCTCTCTCTCTCTCTCTCTCTCTCTCTCTCTCTCTCTCTCTCTCTCTCATTATTGTTACAATTATGATACACAAACTTAATTATTTCCGTTTCCTTTCAAAGGAAATCAAAATAAACATAATTCACTTTGAGTTTAATTGTTGAAACAATTAACTGATAATTTGAATCTTTTTAATGTTACAAATATTGATTAGATTGTGACAATTAACTCCAATCAAGTTAATATCAATCAAATTGTTCATGTTGTTACAATTTGCTTACTTATGAGTAACAAATAATTAACTTAATCATTGAATTAAATTAGATTCAATTTCATGATGAATAATTTTAATTGTAATTTCATGTTTCTTTTTTAATAATGACTATCAATTTAAATTGTTACAATGATTGAATATTTAAATTGAAAGTCAATCATATCCTTAAATTATCATAAAGTTAATTATAACCTTTGATAATCAAATTGTTGTTTGATTGTTAACCATAATCAATAACAATCAACCTTTGATCGTCGTCATCAAGGATATGAAAATTAAATTAAACTAATATTGACTTGATAAACAAACTGTTAATCTAGTTGATTTAATAATAAGGTTGATGGTTAATCAACAATCAAGTTCAAGGTTATCATATTGAACACAATTAATATTTACAATCGGATTAACTTTGAAAATCAATTGTGTTGATTGTGAGGATAACAATCAGATTTGAATCCATTTATCATTAATGGTTTTACACTAAATGGTAATTATTAATATAATTGGATAACAATCAACGTTAATCATCATTACATTAATCAAATTGAGCAAAATTAAGGTTATTAATCTGTCACAATTAACTTTTTGTGTGTCCAGAAACAAAACAAAATTAAAGATAAAGTTAATCAATTGGATTGACAAATTAAAGGGTAAA